ATTCCACCAAAAAACTGCTAGAACTGATTCATGAATTCAGCAAAGTTGCAGGATATAAAATCAATGCACAGAAATCAGCTGCATTCCTATTCACCAACAATGAAGCAACAGAAAGAGAAATCAAGGACTCGATCCCATTTACAGTTGCACCAAAAACCATAAAATACCTAGGAATAAATCTAACCAAAGAGGTGAAAAATCTATACGCTGAAAATTACAGACAGCTTATGAAAGAAATTGAAGAAGACAAAAAAAAAAAAAAAAAAAAAAAAAAAAAAAAAAAAAAGACAAAGATTCCATGTTCCTGGATAGGAAGAACAAATATTGTAAAAATGTCGACACTACCCAAAGCAATCTACATAGTCAAAGCAATCCCTATCAAAATAACACCAGCATTCTTCACAGAGCTAGAACAAACAATCCTAAAATTTTATGGAACGAAAAAGACCCCGAATAGCCAAAGCAATCTTGAAAAAGAAAACCAAAGCAGGAGTCATCACAATCCCAGACTTCAAACTATATTACAAAGCTATAATCATCAAGACAGTATGGTATCGGCACAAGAACAGACACTCAGATCAATGGAACAGAATAGAACGGACATGGACCCCTAACGTGTCAGGCTCATTTTGAAACAGCAAGAAACGTCATGCAATAAAGACAGTTCTTCAGCAAGTGGTGCTGGGAAAACTGGACAGTGACATACAGAGAATGAACTGGACCACTTGCTTTACACCCATACTAAAAATAAACTCAAAATGGATGAAAGACCCTAATGTAAGAAGAAGCCATCAAATATCCTGGGAGAAGCAGGCAAAACTCTTGATCTTGCCCTCAGCAACTTCTTTCCATCGACCGTCTCTGAGCAAGGGAAACAAACCAAAAATGAATCTATGGGACTCATCAAAATAAAAATCTTCGACAGTGAAGGAAACAATCAGCAGACAAAGGCACCGTGACAGAATGGGGAGAAGATATTTGCAAAATGATCAGACTGTAAAGGGGTTAGTATCAAAATCTATAAAGAACTTATCAAACTCCAACACCAAAAAAAATAACTAATGGCGTGAAGAAACGGGCAAAAAGACAGTGAATAGACACCTTCTCCATAAGATCCAGATAAGGCAACCATGACTACAAAAAATGCAGCAACATCATTCATCATCAGGAAATACAAATCAAAACACAAGAGATATCCACCTTACACCTGTCAGAATGGCTTAACCTACTAACTCAGGCAACAACAGATGTTGGCTGGGATGTGGAGAAAGAGGATCTTTACATTGTTGTGCAATCGTCAGTGGTGCAGCCACTCTGGAACACACGTGGAGGTTCCTCAAAAAATTAAAAATAGAACTACCCTGTGACCCAGCAATTGCACTACTAGGTATTTATGCAAGGGATACAGGTGTGCTCTTTCAAAAGGGTACATGCACCCCCATGTTTCTAGCAGCACTATCAAACAATAGCCAAAGTTTGGAAAGAGCCCAAATGGCCATCGATGGATGAATGGATAAAGAAGATGTGGTATATATACACAATGGAGTATTACTTGGCAATCAAAAAGAATGAAATCTTGCCATTTGCAACTATGTGGATGGAACTGGAGGGTATTATGCTAAGCGAAATTAGTCAGAGAAAGACAAATACCATATGACTTCACTCATATGAGGACTTTAAGAGACAAAACAGATGAACATAAAGGGAAGGGAAAGAAAAATAATATAAAAACCAGGAGGGGGACAAAACATAAGAGGCTCTTAAATTTGGAGAACAAACAGAGGGTTACTGGAGGGGTTGTGGGTGGGGGGATGTGGTAAATGGGTAAGGGGAATTAAGGAATGTACTCCCGAAATCATTGTTGCACTATAATGCTAACTAACTTGGATGTAAATTAAAAAAAAATTTTTTTAAAGTCTAAAAATAAAAAATAAAATCATTGAAGGGCTCCCAACTGCCTTCCAGATAAAACTCAAATTTCTTAACAAGGTGCTTACATTCCTTTACAATTTAGCCCTTCACTGTCTTTTCAACTGTAACCTTCAGAGTCCAGTCCTGCCCTCACTCTACATTGCTCCGCTGGCAGGTCCTTGGGTTGGCTGTTTATTCTTAATAGCTCCACAACTCTGCCTATTTCCTTTCCTTAGCCCAGAAGGGCCTCTTTGGTCTTATTCTAACTTGTAAAACTCCTACTTACCTTTCAAGACTCATCACTGAATCTATCAATTTTCTCCATCAAGAGAAGTGTACTACATTTATTCAACAAGCATTCGCTGCGTATGAGCAAACATCATGCAAAGTACTGGATAAACATTGACGAGTGAGACAGGCAGAGCTGAGAGGTTATTTCAATACAGTGGTCAGTGCTGAATTAGGGTACGTACTAGGATTCAGGGACGTACCCAGAAGACTTGTGGAAAGGGAAGACTTGCCAAAGAAAGAAACATATAGTTGAGACATAAAAAAAAAATGAGCAGGAATTAGCTAGATGGGAAGGGTGAGAAGAACATTCTAGGGAGGGAAACAAGATGTGCAGAGTCCCAGAAGAACATGGAGGGTAGGGAAGGCAACACCATTCACAGCATTTTAACAGATGAAGTGGGGAGAATTTAAAAGCAGAAAGAGAGAAACTGAGATTGGAGGAGAAAAGGTAGAGTCTGTGAAATGCCTTGCAAAACCCATTACAAGTCTGTATTTGATACCATTCGAACCTCTCCTGACACTCTCCCCAGGTTGTTAGGCAGACTTCTTGTCTCCTGTGTTCCTAACTCCTCATCTGGCATGGCTCTTCTCACATTTATTACCCTAGCCTCGGGTACTGCCAGATGCACGCTGTCCAGCCCTCCTGAATGTGCTCCCTGGGGGGCGGAGACTGATCTCTTTTCTGTAGCACACTGCTGGTAATACTCTAGTTCAGACAAGATGCTCGCAAAATCCTTATTAAATGAATAAATGCATAAGACAACAATGTGAACGGGGAGAAAGGATAGATACAAGTTTTTATAAATGGCAGTAAAGTTAAATAATAGTCTGTTATATCATAAGGAAATGTAGGTATGAGATGACAGGTGTCCAAATGAATGGTGCATGACTGAGGATGAGGCACAGGCAGGAGTGCAAAGATGGCCAGAAACCTCTTCGTGATCAAGAGGAAAATTGCATGAGGCCTAAAGGATGGATAGGATTTGGGGAGGCAGAGTCGAGTGGAACGTGTTGCAGCTAAGAGCAGTGAACTGGTAAGAACTAGGCCAGAGAGCACATGTAGTGGGGATGGGGGAGAGGGCTTACTTAGGAGAAGAGGAAGATCAATGGGAAAATGTTGGTGGAATTATCCTTAGAAGGTCTACCACTTCATTAAAGAAAACAGGATTGAGGACTGCTTTGTTGTTATTTTCAAAGTAATAGAATCTTTTCAGTAAGTCCTGTCACCACAATTTTGTAGGGGTTCAAGAAGCGGTAAGACTCAGGGAATGAATGGTGAAATAAAATATTCTGTAGTTTTATCCAATTTCTATTCTCTACAAGTCATCTTTATGGAACCCCACATAAACAGTCCTAGGGGAAGGCAACATTTACAACACAATGCTCTTTAAAATGTGGGGGCCCCCAGGTGGCTCAGTTGGTTAAACATCTGACTCTTGATTTCGGCTCAGGTCATGATCTTACGGTTCATGAGACTGAGCCCTGCGTCAGGCTCTGCACTGACAGCGTGGAGCCTGCTTGGGATCCTCTCTCTCTCCACATCTCTCTCTCTGCCCCTCCCCCGCTTATGCATTTGCTCTCTTTCTCTCTCTCCAAATAAATAAACATTTTAAAAAATGTTTAAAAAGTAAAATGTGGATCTGTCAAGTACTATGAACCTCTGAACCTACTTCAAAGGGCTGCGTTAGGGTGCTTCTTACCACACTTCAGTGAGAGGCAGCAAACCAGACTAATGCCAAGATGCTGTCCCTGTGGCTCTTGCAAAAAGAACAGCATCCAAACAAACCAACCCTGATACAGATAATTTTGTTTTTTGGTTTCATCAAGACACTGAATCAAGAAAACAGCACCCTCCTAGCTCACTTAGGAGAATTATGTCATTCCAACATTCTAGGTTCAAGTCTGCAGAAAGATGACTGTAGACAACTGCCAGTGAGGCTTCTCTCAGATGTGAGCAGCTTTCAGTCACACCATTACCAACATTTTCCATCTAAGAAGAAAAAATCTAGAAAAGCACTAAAATGGCTCGTGTGTTCTGAAGTTCTTTTAAAAAAAATTTTTTTTTAACGTTTATTTATTTTTGAGACAGAGAAAGACAGAGCATGAATGGGGGAGGGTCAGAGAGAGGGAGACACAGAATCTGAAACAGGCTCCAGGCTCTGAGCTGTCAGCACAGAGCCCGACGCGGGGCTCGAACTCACGGACCACGAGATCATGACCTGAGCCGAAGTCGGCCGCTTAACCGACTGAGCCACCCAGGCGCCCCCTGAAGTTCTTTTTATAAAAGAGCTGAAAGCATGCAAGAACCACAGAATAGATTTCTTGGCTCACTGTGGGGCCTTTGAACCCAAATGATGAAAACCCCAACTTTGACAGAGTTTCCTAAAATGAAATCAAACAATTTGTACTTGTGAGTTGGGAAAGCAAAGAAGAAAGGTAGGAATGATTAATATATTCTTAACTTTATATACATCATCCATCTTAGACATGTTAATCGTCCAAGTAAAAGGATGAATAAAACTTCTCTTTGATCATATACACTGTCAAAGTTACCAAGGACAGTAGTGCAATTGTGTATATGCTGCATGGTATACACACCAGAGAGGTGCATGTCAAGGATTCTACATATAGAAACATTAAATTGACGAATTCTCCTATTCAGTCTACCCACGGATTAACTTAATCCTATGACTACCAACATACCCTTTTAGAGGGTGATGAAAAAGAATCTAAGAATTCTTATAATTAAAAAAAAAAGTGCTGGCTGACATTAGAGGAAATGAAAAGAGGCACTGTACCTTTTCAGTAATGATGCGGTTGACGCACTGCTTTCCAGTCAGTGGCAATGTACATTTCTCCATGATTTTATGTGTATTTCCCTGTTTTAAAAAGAAGGAACATCAAAAGAGTAGTTAGGGGCCAATTCTTACTTAGAAGTGGAATAATGATAGGACACACAGGAACTATCAGAGAAAGCATCTCCTAAGTACAGGCTGTTTCAAAATCTTTGCACAGTCACGCTTTTGCTTTCTTTCTGGGGACAGCTTCTGTTCCTAACATAATTTAGGGAGAATACCAAATGGATAGCAAAAGCCAGAAATGATTTAGTTGGGAAACATCTTGTCATAAATTTAAACTCTCAAGTCTCAGTCCTTATATATAACGTAAGAGAAATTTTACTTCTAGTATCCTGCTTCCTTTTCCTTTTCAGGGAATGGTCTCCTCGACAAACACAAACTATTATTCACCAAGGATAAGAAGCATGTACGAGATGCAAATGTGTAATACCCTTCTTAAAATTAATTTTGTTAGAAAAGTAAAACATACATGAAAACACCAATGCCTAGCCTCCTTTACTTACTTTTGGACCTGCTCTCAACAGGAATCAATTTTTTTTTTCTAGCATTTTCTTTTGTATCTATACATTTTCCTATTACCTCTTCTTTTTTACAAACTGGGTTCCATGCTATTTGTTTCTTGATTAATTGATTTTAGACACTATGTACTAACTTCTTATTGTGGTACATGAAGACTTAACTCTCTTATAAAACCCTGTCCTCCATTGTCATCTGCACTTCTTCATTAGAGCTAGGCTGCAAACTGTAGTTAACTCAATGGTTAGAATTTACACCATTCTGCCTCAATGACCATGTAAAACTGTTCATCGCTGAGCCAGGCAGTATAGTATACCATGGTTTTATTTACTTTCTCATACCGCTGTTTGCTGTTCCTGGAGTTTGTCTGAGCCTCAGTTTGCTCATAAGTAAAATGTATGAGCTGTCCTAAATCTGTATTTTTTCTTTTAACTACTGTACCCTTTCTTCAAACATAAAATAAAAAGGGAGTAAGAATAGAAAGCGGAGTATTTATACAAAGAAAACAAAACCACGAATTCAGAGAGATGTATGAACCCCTATGTTTACTGTAGCCTTATTTACAAGATATGGAAGCAACCTAAATGTTCATCAATAGATGAATGGATAAGGAAGATGTGGGCATGCACACACACACACACACACATACACACACACACACAGGAATATTATGCAGCCATAAAAATAATGAGATCATGCCATTTGAGACAACACAAATGGACCTAGAGAGTATTATGCTAAGTGAAATAAGTCAGACTGAGAAAGACAAACAGCATATTTTACTCATTTTACTCGTAAGTGGAATACAAAAAACAAACAAACCTGAATAAACAAACAGAAAACAGAACGAGACCTATAAATACAGAGAAAACTGATGATTGCCAGAGGGGAGGGGGTGGTGTGCTGGGCAAGGCTGGTGAAACAGAGAGGGAGATAGATGCTTCCAGTTATGGAATGAGTAAGTCGTGGGAATAAGAGACACGGCACAAGGAATATCGTCAATGATATTGTAACAGTGATGTATTGAGTCAGATAGCAGCTACGCCTCTGGGGATCACAGCATCATGTACAAATCTGCTGAATCGCTATGCTAAACACCTGAAACTAATATAACACTGTGTGTCAACTATACTCAAAAAAAGAATGGAAAGCAGGTTTTCACCCATTATACCCCTTCCTCCAGCCTACATCCCAATGTAGACATGGCCTCTGGGCACCTGTACGGAAACACAATTGAAACATTAGCTCTGATGATCTGATTATAATTATCATTAAGCTCCTTTCTAAGTATCAAGCAACAGGAGCCTAATTTAGTATTTCCCTTGAGGATGAAAGCTACTTCATCATATTCTAGATCTTCTACTAAAAAATGGAAAAATGCTTCTGTTGATTCTTTTTGGGGCCTAAAGCCACCATACATGGTGGCTCAGTTGGTTAAGCATCCAACTCTTGATTTCAGCTTGGGTTGTGATCTCATAGTCATGACATGGAGCCCTGCTTAAGATTCTCTGTCTCCCTCTGCCCTTCTCCCTGGCTCATGCCCTTACCAAAAATAAACAAACAAACAAACGAATGAATGAATGAATGAATGAATAAATAAATAAATAAATAAAATAATAAATTAAAACACCACACATGATGTCATAATCATCTTTCGACATCTTACTGTTTTACCACTAAAATAAGCACCTGCTATCTGGCTTATATCTCTCTCCAATTTCTGTCAGATCTAGTGTACAGTCATGGGCAAGGAATTTCAGATAACTAGGTTTAATTAAAAAGATTTTGTTCCTCGCAATAAACTTTCAACTCTCCAATGCACCAGTAATTAAAAGGCTTTAGTGTGGGGCGCCTGGGTGGCGCAGTCGGTTAAGCGTCCGACTTCAGCCAGGTCACGATCTCGCGGTCCGTGAGTTCGAGCCCCGCATCAGGCTCTGGGCTGATGGCTCAGAGCCTGGAGCCTGTTTCCGATTCTGTGTCTCCCTCTCTCTCTGCCCCTTCCCCGTTCATGCTCTGTCTCTCTCTGTCCCAAAAATAAATAAACGTTGAAAAAAAAAATTAAAAGGCTTTAGTGTACTTCACCCAGTGCATGGCACAAAAAGTATTATTTTTTGAATAAATGAATGGGAGGAAAATGAAAGGTCTACTGGAAATCCCAGATGGATTTCAAAAAAAGACAAACCCTACTATTTTAATTTAATCAAAATGAGTGCCAAATACATACAAAATGGATACACATTACGCCTTTAATAACAAGTTATATGCTTCTGGATCTTACTGTATAAGAAAATTTATAATTGTAGAAATAAAACCTCATTTTCACTTCATTTTTAATGCTCTACTTTCCTTCCCAGTTTCAAAGGAAGTTTGCACGTGTCACAGAAGCTTAATTAAGGAGCTGAAATTAATGATGAATATTCAAGCTTGTACAGTTGTCAGGTCTCCTTACATTGAATATAATTCAAATAAGGCATGTCACAGTGAACTCCAGGCCTGCCTGGGTACAAAGGGAGCAATCTGTGGGCCTCTGAAGAACATTTTTTGCAGGGAGCTCTTACTTTGTTCTCATTATTTGAGCAAGATCCACATCTGGTGTGAGCAAAACTACTTGGATTTTAATGAACAACGAACTCCATTTTAGGAGGAATCAGGAATTTCAACTGACAGGACTAACAGAGACCTTTCATGGACTATCTGCTATATAAACAGGATAGCGTATGTTTAAGAGTGTGGGCTGGAGCCAAAGGGCCTGAGGGTAAAGTCTGGCTCTGCTCCTCCCGGGCTGTGCAAAGTTCCTGGGCCTGGGCTTCCCCAGCAGCCCTCCCCCCATGGGGCTACCGCAACGGTTCAATGAGATCCAAGTGTCCAGCACTTTGCAAGCGCTCAATAAATGTTAGCTACCATTTGTTTACACAAAACCTATTTGACAGTTCCACAGTCTACCAGGGAATTCTTTACCTCTTAAGTTCCTATAAGAAGTTAGACATGTGATTATGCAGAAAATGGCCTAAACCCAATTGCTGATACCCACAAAACTAATGAAACCACAAGACGTTTTTGGCGACACACCATACGGCTGGCCTAGGAAACTGGCACCGGGTGTATTCTTGCAGTGAGAACAATGTAGCTAGATGACTCCATTCACATTTAGCTCTAGCACATAACACAGATAAAGGAAAAAGAGAAAATGAGAGGCAAGAGATTAAAGAATGTCACAATTTCAGTATTCAACAATAGGTTAGCTATGAAGCCAACATATAACTAACTCCCACTTCAGGGCTCTATTCTAACCATGCCCGGCTGAGCCTTCCAATGTGGCATGGCGGCTGCATAGATTAACGATTCACAAAGGAGGAACGATTGCTGAGTTTTCAGCATTTAAAATTAAATCCTAAAAAAGAAAGGCAGTGTAGTGTGTGTGGCAGCAAAGAACACTGTACGAAGAGTCTAAAGAGCCATTTTTTTTTTTTCATCTTATTATCTGCCATTTAATGGTCATTTGATGCCTTCAATTCTTTGTGCTGTAGTTTTCTGTATGGTTGCCTTGTCTTCCTCACCTGGTCACCGTAGGAATCACACAAAATGTTCTGAAAGTGTCATAAACTAGGAGAGGTAGAATCTACACACAAATATTTAGGGTCCGTGAGGTCTGCTTCATCCTTACCATTCTGCTTCTTTCTTTCTTCCCCAAGAAGAAATGCCAGAAAAGGCAGAGGAACAGATACCAAGTACAGCATTAAAAATGCTTTGACTAGGGGTGCCTGGGTGGCGCAGTCGGTTAAGCGTCCGACTTCAGCCAGGTCACGATCTCGCGGTCCGTGAGTTCGAGCCCCGCGTCAGGCTCTGGGCTGATGGCTCAGAGCCTGGAGCCTGTTTCCGATTCTGTGTCTCCCTCTCTCTCTGTCCCTCCCCCGTTCATGCTCTGTCTCTCTCTGTCCCAAAAATAAATAAACGTTGAAAAAAAAAATTAAAAAAAAAAAAAAAAAATGCTTTGACTAGTCCCGAGGGCTCCTGATTTCACTCGGTCCTTATTTGTGAACTTCATCAAAACCTTGATGAATCGCTAAATCTCTTCCTCTACCTGCCTCTCCACTTTTTCTCTTTCCCCCCCTTGATCACTTATAGGCCTCATGGCAACACCGAGGAATTTACCTTTTTCTTTTTAAGTGACTTAGGGCCATAGTACTTTGTATTACTTGCTTCGTGGTGATCTCTCTTTAATTCTTTTGATATTTGTGTAAAATCCTGGACCTAAATTCTTCAGTAACGAGTCTGGTTAAGTGATAATAAATCCCCCTGGTTATCACTACAGTAAGCTTCATGTTATCACAATAAACTTAATCCCAAATAACAAGCTCTCTGTTTCACAACATGATGATTTTTGCATTTGATGTCAGCATTTATTCACCTGAGGCAACAGAGCGTGCATGTAATAAGATTTTGCTTTACATAAAATGCTATTGCTCATCTTTTCTGTTAAGTGCTTATTTTAAATGTGGCTGCAA